ACTACGAATAGTAATACTAATATTAATGATGCTAATATTCATATTCGCAGTGCCAACAATCGTACTACTATTATCATTCTTATTATTTGTATTATTATCAGTATTATTATCACTATCAGTATTATATGATTAGTAGTGTCATTATTGTTGTTACTATTATTATTGCTATCATTATTATTACTATTGTTATTATTTTTATTATTACCACTACTACTTATATTATTATTAGTATTATTATTATTATTATTATTATTATCATTATTATTGCTATTATTATCAGTATTCTTATTATTATTCTTATTCGTATTCGTAATGCTAATATTATTAGTAGTGCTAACGCTAACGCTACTACTACTGCTGCTGCTACTAATACTAATACACAACATCAGCAGGCGAATCAGAGGAGAATGAGAAGGGGGAGCAAGATGAGGAGCAGGAGCAGGAGCAGGAGCAAGAGCAGGAGGAGGAGGAGGAGGAGGAGGGAGAGAGGGGAGAGGGGGAGGAGGAGGAGGAGGAGGAGGAGGAGGAGGGAGGAGGAGGAGGAGGAGGAGGAGGAGGAGGAGGAGGACGGAGGAGGAGGAGGAGGGAGGCGGAGAAAGGAGGAGGAGGAGGAAGAGGAGGAGGAGGAGGAAGGAGGAGGAGAAGGGAGGAGGCGGAGGAAGAGCAGGAGGAGGAGGAGGAGGCGGAGGAGGCCGGAGGAGGAGGAGGGGAGGCGGGAGGAGGAGGAGGCGGAGAAAGAGACGGAAGAGGAAGAGGAGGAGGAGGAGGAGGAGGAGGAGGAGGGGGAGGAGGGAGGAGGAGAGGAGGAGGGGAGGAGGAGGAGGAGGGGAGGAGAGGTGGAGAAGGAGAAGAGGAGGATGAGGAGGAGCAGGGGAGGATGAGGAGGAGGAGGAGGAGGAGGAGGAGAAGGGGGAGGGGGAGCGGGGAGGAGGAGGAGGAGGAGGAGGAGGAGGAGGAGGAGGGAGGAGGAGGAGGAGGAGGAGGAGGAGGGGAGGAGGAGGAGGAGGCGCGGAGGAGGCGGAGGAGGCGGAGGAGGAGGAGGAGGAGGCGGAGAAGGAAGAGGAGGAGGAGGAGGAGCAGGAGGAGGATGAGGAGGAGGAGGAGGAGGAGAAGGAGGCCGCCCTCCCGTGGGGGGACGAGGTCCTCTTCGCGAGCTTCTCCCCCTGCGGCACTCGCCTGGCGACGTCTTCCCGCGACCGCACGACGTGCATCTACGGTTTCGGCCAGGACGGGACACCGGGTGGCTGTAGGGGGCTGTACACTCGGGGAAAAGGGCTTCCGCGAGGTTGCTAGACTCGGCTCGTTCAGTTCGTTCGCTCCTCGTGAGTTTTGCTGGAATCGGCTCGCGCGCGGGCGCACGCGCGCGGGTCTAGCGTTTCGGCAGGGCCTTCATCTCTGTCCACGGTGCTGCGAGCAAGCATACATAAGGCGGACGAGGGATGATGATGCGTCTGTTTCTGTGTCAATGGCATGGCCCACGGTCTGAAGCAAGCACAGCGTCCGAGGCTTGGAGGAGGAGGAGGAGGAGGATGAGGAGGAGGAGGAGCAGGAGGAGGGGGAGGAGGAGGAGGAGGAGAAGGAGGAGGAGGAGGAGGAGTTGGAGGAGGAAGACGAGGAGGAGGAGGAGGAGGAGGAGGAGGAGGGGGAGGAGGGGGAGGAGGGGGAGGAGGAGGAGGAGCAATAGCAATACAGCGTACTACTAACGGTACTAAGAACCGTTCTCAGAGTACTAACAATGATACGTCGAACACTATTGCTCGCAACAGTAAGACTAATACTATATGATTTCTACTAAGAAGACTAACACTAATACGCGCACACACTACGAATACGACTAAACATACGAACAAACCGAACACACCTATTCCAGTACTTCAAGAACACTAATTGTAAGTGCACTACAGGTACGACTAGTATTACTAAGGAGAAACGAGTTCTAACACAAATGGTAATCCGTGCAAGCAGAAATTTGACATTACTAAACGCACGACGCATCTTATTAACCATAGTACTAGTAAGACGACGGACACTACGCACCCGAATCATAACAGTACTACTGTTACGACTACTACTAGAAAGCTAAGAACAATACTAACCCAACCACACCAACAACGACTACTATTGATAGCAACACGATCACGGATTATATGTCTACCCGTACGTAAGCTACTACGACTACTACTACTACTACTACTACTACCACTACTACTACTACCACTACTACTACTACCACTACTACTACTACTACTACTACTACTACTACTACTACTACTACTACTACTACTACTACTACCAATATTGATGCTAGCACTCATCGCAGAAATACTAATATTAATACTTATATTCGTAATGGTACTGGTAAGTCCACGAATGCTGCATTATTAGTAATAAGATGAATGCTGCTACGAATCAGACTAACAATGCGAAGACAACGAATACTACGAATACGCTAATAATAACACCCATAACCAGATTATGAATACTAATGTTAAGAGTAAGAATATTGATACTATTATTAGTGTTAACAACACTACTAAACATTAACAGTTGAAGCGTAAGAAGTATCAGCACACTGATAATAATGATAACACGATTCATACTAGTTGTAATTAACATACTGCTAATACGAGTCGTCATACTAATAATAAGAAGGGAGGAGGAGGAGGAGGAGGAGGAGGAGGAGGAGGAGGAGGAGGAGGGGAGGAGGAGGAGGGGAGAGCGAGAGGGACGGGGAAGGAGCAGAGGAAGGGAGGAGGAAGGATGTAGAGAGGAGGAGAGGAGGGAGGAGGGAATATGAGGGAGGACTCTAGGAAGCCCTCTCAGAAGTCTGCAGGCCTTTCTACGCAGCCCCTCTGCCCTCGTCTCCGCCCCATCTTCCTTTTGTGTCTGGGGAGCGAACGTGCACGTCCTCCTCCTCCTCCTCCTCCTCCTCACTCACTCCTCCCTCCTCCTTTCTACTTCCGCGTACTATCGTATTACTCCTCGTCCTCCCATATTCATCCTCCTCCTCCTCCTCCTTCCTCCTCCTCTCACCTCCTCCTTCCTCATCCTCCTCCTCCTCCTCCTCCTTCCTCCTCCCTCACTCTCCTCACTGATCCTCCACTCCTACTCCTCTCCTCGTCCTCCTCATCTCCTCCCTCCCCATCCTTCTGCTCCTCCTCCCTACTCCTCCTCTCACTCATCCGCTCTCTCCCCATCGGGGGGATGACCAGGGCGTTTTCGAGGCAAAAAAGTCTGTAGCTGTGAGGCAGTTCCGCTCGGCCCCCCCCCCCCCCCCGGTCGCCGAGAGCATACCCCACCCTCCACCTGGCCTCCCCCTGTCGGACAGGGGGGGCTCCTCTGCCCACCTGCTCTGTGCGCCGCGGTGCTCGATCCTGCGGCGCGCCTGGGCGGGACGTGCGAGGGGGCAGGCCCTCTCAGAAAGCGGCGGGGCTTTCAGAAGGCCTCCGGGCCTTCTGGTCCTCCTCCTCCTGCTCCTCCTCCTCCTCCTGCGGAAACGATCTCATACGCACGTGCATCCTCTACCCCCGAAATACATACTACCTAACTACTCCGCCCTCACTACGATCCTAAGCATACCGCCGCAGCCCCATCCGTCCACCGACTTACAACAGCCTCCTACAATACTCCTCCTCCTCCGCATCCGCCGACTACTACTCCTTCTCCGCATCCTACCTCCTCCGTGCCGGCGGCTCCTCCTCCGTCCTCCTCCTCCTCCTCCCTCCTCCTCCTCCTCCTCCTCCTCCCCCTCCTCCTCCTTCTCTTCTGAGAAGCCATCTATGTCTTCGGAGAAGTCTTCGAACATTTCTCAGAAGGCCGGGGGCCTCCCGAGCCTCCCGAGAAGGCCCGCCCTGGCCCCCCCCCCTGGGCTCGCGGCCGAGCGATCCTGCGTCCTGGCGCCAGGATGGACAGCCAGCCCTCGACAGCGTGATCCAGCACAGCAGCGCCGTCGCGCACGTGCAGTGGTGCCCCTACCCAGAGCTCGACTGCATCCGCCGCGGTTGGGCGGCCGCTCGCAGGGCCAGAGCCAACCGTGAAGAGGGGTTCAGACGGGATGGTCCTGAGGCAGACTCGGCCGCCAGCTCCCCGTGGTGGTCGCGCGTTGGCGCGTGCTCACTTTCGCCTCCTCCTCCTCCTTCTTCTCCTCCTCCTCCTCTTTTTCTCCTCCGCCTCCTCCTCCTCCTCCTTCCTCTCCTCCTCATCTCCTCCTCCTCCTCCTCCTCCTCCTCCTCCTCCCCCTCCCCCTCCTCCTCCTCCCCTTCTCCTCCTCCTCCTCCTCCTCCTTCTCCTCCTCCTCCTCCTCCTCCTCCTCCTCTCCCTCCTCCTCCTCCTCCTCCTCATCCTCCTCGGTCCTCCAGCTCTTGGGATCGAGGTCTTCGATCAAGTCGGGCGTGTCCCTCTACAGGGGGAATGTTCCCAACTAGCATAAACAATAGGATGGGGACGATTTTTCGATTATGTTTTGACGGTTCTTGAGTATGTCTGGACTACTTTGAAATTTTCGTTCAAAATCCGCCTGTAGGGGGAACATGCCCGACCTGATGCTTCTCCTCCTCTTTCTCCCCGATCCTCCAGCTCTGGGGATCGAGGTCTTTGCACGCTTCTTGCCTCGGGGAGCTTCCGGAGACCTCTGGAGACCTCAGGCTCAGACAGGCTCCCGAGCGGGATGCATCGCTCTCAGAGCGTTCCGGAGCTTTCCCTGAGCGTTCCAGAACGCTTCGAGAAAGCCGAGGCGCCCGAACCATCCCTCAGAACCGCCGGGTCTCAGAGATTCCCGACTTGTCTCGACGAAGAAAACACGCCATAAAACACAAATTTCTGGCGCTCCGCGCGATATTCTTGGATCCGCGCTGGGCCCCCCCGGCGGCGCCTCTGGCGCCGCCACTGGCGCGTTCCGCGCGCTAGGGAGGGGGTTCAGCGCCGATCCCTGAGATCCGCGCGGACCTCCGAGTTTTTATGCTGATGCCGTTTTTCGTTCCCCTAGAGACATCCTTCAGAACCGCCGGATCTCAGAGGTTCCCGACTTGTCCCGATTCGAGGTTGTCACGTTCCTTGTCTTGTTTAGTGGCCTGGAGCCCCCGCTGATTCTGACCGCGTTCCGTTGAGCTCTAGAGTGGCCCGGCCGACCGCGGTGCCGTCGCCGTCTCCACCGACGGCCCCTACCCCATGGCGGAGGTCTGGAACGTGGGCAAGCACGAGTGCCTCCTCAGGTCAGGGGCGGCGCCCAAAGTGTCAGTATGGGAAAGATACACAGACGCAACCAATCGTCGATTCCCAGGACGACCTGGGAAAATATGAGAAGTGGAAGGGAAGACGAGCATCCAGAGAATATTGCGGAATGGAAAATCATTGACGCTTCGCGTATCCCCACCAGCCCATCCAAAACCGACGCCCAGGCGACTAGAGACGATCATGGAAGCGTGAGAGCAAAATGGGGGACAGTCGTTATCGTTCGAGGAAGGATGACGGGATGATGAGGATGAGGAGGAGGACCAGTGTAAACCCAAGACTCCTCAGCGACTTCGGAACAAGCCCTCCCTGCGGGCTCCCTCTTCGTCGGCCCCTACACAGGCTCATTTCCATTGAGGGAATTGCCTCGTTGGGAGACAACCGTTTGAAGACCCTGAAGCATTCCAAAACACCATTCTCGGGACTCCAACGCAATGGATCAATTTGACTTTTGCGTCTTGACGATCATGAATCGTGTCAGAATGCATTCTTGGGACTCCAACACCACGAATCAGCGTAACTGTTGCGCCCTAAGACTCCTGAATCGTTCCAATATACCATTTCTGGTACGTTGACGAATGTGCGCGGCGCGAAGGCGAGAGCCACATTTTGAAAACGAGCCGCCCTCAATCCGTGAAATTGATGCAATTTGTGAAGGCGAATGTGTGCGGCGCTAAGGCGAGGGTCACATTATGAAAATGAATCGCCCTCAGTCCGTGAAACGGTTGCAACAATTTAAGACGGATATGCGCGGCGCTGTGGCGAGGGCCACAGTATGAAAACGAATCGCCCTCAGTCCGTAAAATTGTTGCAAATTTTGAAGACGAATGTGCGCGGCGCTAAGGCGAGAGACACATTATGGAAACGAGCCGCCCTCAGTCCGTGAAATTGATGCAGTTGTCTACGGCGAATGTGCGCGGCGCTAATGCGAGAGTCACATAACATTATGAACATGAATCGCTCTCGGTCCGTGACACTGCTGCAAAAAAGACGAATACGCGCGGCGCTAATGCGAGAGCCACATTATGAAAACAACTCGCCCTCAGTCCGTGAAACTGCTACAAATCTTTAAGACGAATGCGCGCGGTAGTCACTAAGGCGAGAGGCACATTTTGAAAACGAGCCGCCCTCAATCCGTGTCCCGCCCTTTCGACCGGCCTCGGGGTGCGACAGGGAGGAGTTATGTATGAGGAAGGAGAGGAGGAGGAAGGAGAGGAGGAGGAAGGAGGAGGAGGAGGAGGAAGAGGAGGAGGAGGAGGAGGAGGAGGAGGATGAGGGAGAGGGGAGGAGTGCAGGAGGGAGGAGGTGTAAGCGGATGAGTAGGAGAAGATGAGAGGAGGAAGAAGAAGGAGGGGAGAGTAGAGGAAGGAGGAGGAGGAGAGAGGGGGAGGCATGAGTGGAGGAGGAGGAGAGAGGAGGAGGGAGGGAGGAGGAGGAGGAGGAGGAGGAGGAGGTTGAGGAGGAGGAGGAGGAGGAGGAGGAGGAGGTGGAGGAGAAACATGGCGAACAATAGAGACAGAAGCCTCTCGAATGCCTCGCGGAGTCTCCTCGGATGTCGCTTAAGAGCTTTTTGGAGGCCTCTTGGGGCGTCTGGGGGGGGCATCTTGGCGGGCCCAGGGCCGTCTTTGAGCGTCTTGGGTGCCTCGGGGATTCTCTCGAGGCCTCTTGGGGATCTTTTGGGAGCCTCTTGGAGGCCCTTTGGTTGCCTCTTGGAGCCGTCTGGGCGCCTCTTGGGGCCCTCTTTGGGCTCTCTTGGGAGCTTTAGGCGCGCTCGTGGAGCCATCTTGGAAGACATCGATACAGCAAGAGGGCAGCTTCAATTAGCCTTAATCGCCTCTTGGGGCGCTCTTGGGGCGCTCTTGGAGCGCTCTAGGGCGCTCTTGTACCCGTCTTGGGGCTCTCTTGGGTCCCTCTTGGGGCCCTCCTGGGCCATCTTGGAGCCATCTTGAGGCCCCAGATGGGCATCGGAAGCGAAAATACGAGAAAACCAAACATACTGATTTTCCAAGAAGGTTTTGAAGGATTTTGGTCTCTGTGGGCCTTGGGGAGCTCGTTGGGCATTGGGATCCGCCTTGAGGCGGTCTTGGGGCCTCTTGGAGCATCTTGGAAGCCATCTTGAGCGATCTTGCGCTATCAGGAGCCATCTTGGAGGCAATCTTGCACTCTGAGGCCCTCTTGGAGCCATCTTGGGCCATCTTGGACGCTCCAACTACCCGCGACCATCCCCGTCCAAGTCCAGGGGAGGGGGCAATGGGGGAGGAGTGAACCCCTCCCCAGAGGGGAAGAAGGGGGGTGGAAGAGAAAATCTCCTAGACCACCTGCGCCCAGAGGGCTGGTGGGATTATGGGTATTCTTAGGGTTCGTCTCGACTTGTCTGTGTCTCCCTGGGCCCCCCTTTCGAACTGGGGTGGCTCCTGGCGCCCTGGGCCTGCCGGCACCGAGTTGCCTGCCGAGGGCTGTCCCGCGGAGCAGGGTGGGGCGTTCAAACAGTAACGAAGCGTCCTGGCTCGCCTATAGCCCTACCAAACAATGTTCGAAGAACCTTTTGTGGCTTCCACGATATGTTCTTAGAACATTTCTGGCGGAGTCTGCTTTGTTTTATCACACCGGGTTCATGTTCTAAGAACATTACTTTTGTTCTTAGAGCATTTTTGGGTTCTAAGAACATGTCGTGGTAGGACTATAGGAATGCTGGGACGGGCGGTCCCTGCTCAAGGGCGTTCGGCCTGAGTAGGGCTCGTGCTCTCTTGCCTGTGCTCTGATTCGGGTGTTGCTAGAAGTGACCCTGGTCCGAGGTGCCCCCCAGGATCTCCGAGGAGGCCCCCGTGGCCTTCAGAGCACCCCTCACGCGGCCCAGAGGGCCCCGGGGGCTCCAACACGGAGCGAACAGCTGCGGGCACCTTGGGCCAGGGCCAGGGGCATCTTTCGCAAGCCCCGACTAATGCAGGAGTCACGCTGGTGAGCAACAAGTGGGGTGACTGGCTCACAGCACAGAGGGGGGGCAAAATCAACCTCTGATTTCGGCGCTTGACTGCCTACCCTGCCCAGATCGTACGTTTTCGCCATCGGCGGCGCATCGCCCATCTCTCGGCGAAATTTTCCAATCAGTGCTTGCACTAGGGTTAAGTTGGGCCTGTCCCTCTGCAGGGGGAATATTCAAAAATAGACAAAAATAGTCAGGGGACGTGTTTTTTTTTTGTTCTTCCTCTTTTTGCATTTTTGGGTAATTTTTGGAGCATTTTTGACTCCTGATACTTTTCTTTGAAAATCGGCCTGTAGGGGGACAGGGTCGACCTGACACTAGGGGCTCTTCCTTGGATTGGGTGCAAGCCTGCGTTTCTGGGTTTTCGCCCGGTGGCCCCCAGTGGCCGCCTCGTGGCCGCCCCGTGCGTTGGGTGTGGTTTCGCCCAGTGGTCGCCCGAGGAGGAGGAGGGGGAGGAGGAGGAGGAGGAGGAGGAGGAGGAGGAGGAGGAGAAGGAGGAGGAGGAGGAGGAGGAGGAGGGGGAGGAGGGGGAGGAGGAGAGAGGAGGAGGAGGAGGAGGAGGAGGAGGAGCAGGAGGAGGAGGAGGAGTGAGAGAAGAGGAGGAGAGGTAGAGGAGGAGGAGGAGGAGGAGGAGGAGGAGGAAGTGGAGGAGGAGGAGGTGGCCGCCCCTTGCGTTGGCTGGTGTTTCTCGGTTTTCGCTAGGTGGCCACCCGTGGTCGCCTCGTGACCGCGTGTATTGTTTTACAGGTCTAATCTTAAGGCGGTCGTGTCCCTCTACAGGGGGAAAATTCAAAAACATGTTTTGGGGAAAAAATAAAAAATCAGTTTAATACATATATATATATATAAACTTTATTCAACATTGACCACTTGAAGGTACTTTTGGACTATTCTTCATGTTTCGTCCAAAATCCCCCTGTAGGAGGACAGGCCCGACTTAAGTCTAATCCAGGACTCATGCATGATTACTGGCTGCTTCGAAATCAGATGTTTCGACGGCTGCTGTCCCCATCAATCCCGTCGGAAAGTACAATGCTGGCCACGCGCGTGCGTTCCCGCGCACGCATGCCCAGTCATTGCAAGATCATGTTGCGTCGAGTAATTCCAAGCTGGTGGTATTCACAAGCACATGCAAAGTCAAGAGAGGGGTAACACCAGTCCGAGTTTTTGTCCGCGCGCACTTCCTCTTCATCCTCACCTAAATCCACCCGCCATCATTATCACCACCATCACCACCACCACCATCATCATCATCATCATCATCATCATCATCACCATCATCATCATCATCATCATAATCATCATCATCATCATCATCATCAGCATCATCATCCCATCATCATCAGCATCATATTCAACAACATCACCGTCATGATTATCATGAACATTAACATTAACAGTGCTATTAACACCATCATTGCTATTTACATCGCCATTTCTGTTTTCAGTAATATTCGCATTCGCATTCTCATTAATAAGGTCCAGCATTATTATCTGTATACGTATCATTATCGTCGTCATCATCATCATCATCATCATCATCATCATCATCATCGTCATTCTCACTATCATTATCATCGTCATTACCAGCGTCACAATCACCATCACCATGACCATCATCATCGCCATCATCGTAAACGTCAGCATTGCCATCGTCATCACCATCATCTTCATCGCATTTACCATCGTATCGTCGTCATTGTCGCCATCATCGCCACCTTGGCCCTCGTCATCGTCATGTCATCGTCGCCACCGTATGCCATCGTCATCGTCGTGGCGCTCGTCATCATCGCCACCGCCATCTTAATCATGATTCTATTGGTAGTCGTCGTCGTCGTCGTCGTCATCGTCGTCGTCGTCGTCGTCGTCGTCGTCGTGGTCGCCGATGTCGTGGTCTCCTTCAGCGCCCGTCCCGCCCGCCCGAGCCGCACGAGAGGGACCCTCGCGCCACTGCGCCAGTTGAGTGGGCCATCGGGTCGTCGTGTGGTTGGGCTCATGGGCCGCATGGCGGCCGGCATCGGCGCGGCAGGGTAGCCTAGGCGGGCGGCACGTCGCCGCGGCCGAGGGCTGCCGGGCCTGCGCGGGGCTGCGCCGGGCGCGGGCGCCCCCCGTGGGCCCCTTGCCCCTCCCCTCTGCCCTCCCCGCCCTTCGCGCCTCTGTCGTTCGTCTGTCGTCCGTCGTTCGTCGTTCGTCGTCGTGTCGTCTCCCGCGCTCTGCCACTGGGCTCCCGTTTGCTGGTAAAAAATTTGGGTGGGTGGGGTGCCTGCTCGAGATCTCGAATGGACGGCTTTGTTTTTGCACCGCTCAGCTGTACCGCAGGTGTTGCGCGTCGCACGTCGCACTCTGCACCGCGCAGATCGCATCCCTCAGATTGCGCTCCACGGATTGCACCACGCTGGTTGCGCCACGCAGACTGCATCCCATAGAGGGCAGTCGAGTGCACATCAAGACTGCAAGAGCTCGCAGTTTGGGGTTCACGCTGACAACATATATGAAATGTCGGTCAATGCTATTGCCACCCCACCTGGGCCATCGGGACGCCCGAAATGGGTACGATGCCTAAGAGCGAATGTTGTCCAAAACCGGCAGCGGCCGCTGTTGGGCAGGCGACGGTGGCGACGCCGTGCCGACGCCGACAGCGAGCATGGCTCAAACCGGGCAGGAACTCCTGTCGGCCTCCGTCCCCATCCTTTCCGTACCTGTTTTTTTCGGCACTCCCGTCACCAGGGTGCTCTCGCCTGTCAGGGACGTCTTCGCCTCCATCGTCCGCTGGCCGACCGGCGGGCTCGCCCTGCTGGCGAGCGGCGCGATCAGCGTAGGGGACGAGTATACACAGGAACGCAGCCCCGACGGACGACGACGACGACCGAAGATGGCTTCGCTGACGTCGCCGACGACGACGATGTCGACAACGACGACAACTGCGGCGGCGGCGGCGACGGATGACGACGACGACGACGACGACCACGCGGGGCCGATGCAGACGACGAAGGCGGATGACGACGGACGACGGACGAGGACGACGACGACGACAACGACGACGGCGACGACGACGTCGGGCGACGGGCGACGGACGACCACGACCACGATAACGACCACGGAGTATGCTTACGACGACGACGACGGCGACGAGGGAGACGAGGGAGACGAGGAAGGCGACGACGACGACGACAGCGGTGGTGGCGGCGGCGGACGGAGAAGACGAAGGACGACGACGACGACGAGGAGGAAGAGGAGGAGGAGGAGGAGGAGGAAGAGGAGGAGGAGGAGGGGGTGCGGGGACGCGTGGCGCGCGGGTTCCCCCCTCCCAGTTTCCCGCAGGAGCTCTGCGTGTACGCGCTCCCGCCGCGTGCCCCTACGCCAGAACAGGCCTCCTCCTCCTCCTCGACCGCCCCGCGGCCTCCCCGTTCTCCCCCTCCGCCCGCACTCCTCTTAAGGAGGAGGAGGAGGATGGGGGTGGTGATGAGGATGGGGATTGTGATGAGGATGATGATGCTGCTGTTGATGATGCTGATGCTGATGATGATGATCATGCTGATGTTGATGCGGATGAGGATGATGATGATGCTGCTGCTGATGCTGATGCTGATGAGGATGATGATGCCGATGTTGATGATGCTGCTGCTGATGATGAGGATGATGATGCTGCTGTCGCTGATGGTGCTGATGATGATTACGATGATGATGATGAAGATGATGATGCTGATGATGATGCTGATGCTGTTGATGATGATTATGCTTATGATGATGATGATGATGATGATACTGATAATGATGATAATGCTGACGCTGATGCTGATGAGGAAGATGATGATGATGGTGATGTTGATTAGTATGTTGATGATAATGCGGATGCTGATGCTGATGAGGATGGCGATGACGATGTTGATGATGATGCTGCTGCTGATGATGAAGATGATGATAATGATGAGGATGAGGATGAGGATGAAGATGACGGTGTTAGTGGTGTTTATGTTGACCATGATGATGGTGGTGATGATGATGATGATGATGATGATGATGCTGTTGTTGATGCTGATGCTCATGGTTATGCTGATGATGATGCTGATGATGCTGATGATGATGATGAAGATGCTGATGAGGATGATGATGACGATGTTTATGATGATGCTGTTGCCGATGGTGATGATGCTGCTGCTGTTGCTGATGCTGCTGATGATGTTGATGATGATCATACTGATGCTGATGCTGATGCTGTTGATGATGATGCTGATGATGATGCTGATGATGATGATGCTGATGATGATGATGATGATGCTGATGCTGATGCGATGCTGATGCTGATGCTGATGCTGATGCTGATTATGATGACTCGGATGATCATGATGATGACGATGATGCTGATGATGATGATAAGGCTGATGCTGATGCTGATGATGCTGAGGATGACGATGTTGATGATGATGCTGCTGCTGATGATGAGGATAATGATGCTGCTAATGCTGTTGATGCTGATGCTGTTGATGATGCCGATGAGGAGGATGATGCTGATGATGAGGATGATGACCATGGTGATGATGATGAGGATTCTGATGATGATGATGATGATGATGATGATGATGATGATGATGATGATGATGATGCTGCTGACGATGATGATGCTGATGCTGATTATGATGCTGTTGATGCTGTTGATGCTGATGATGATGATGTTGCTGATGATTATGAGGTCTATGATGATGTGAATGCCGGTGCTGATGATGCTTATGATGCTGTTGCTGATGATGATTATGATGACGACGATGATGATGATGCTGATGATGATGATGATGCTGATGCTGATGCTGATGCTGATGCTGCTGCTGCTGATGATGATGATGATGATGTTGATGATGATGATGATGATGATGATGATGATGATGATGATGATGATGATGAAAGATGATGATGATGATAGCTGATGCTGTGCTGAGCTGATGCTGATGAAGAATGATGATGCCTGATGATGAAGATTGATGATGATGAATGGAATGATGATGAATAGATGGTGTGTGGTGGTGGTGGTGTGGTGATGATGATGATGCTGATGATGATGAGGAGGAGGAGCAGGAGGAGGAGATGAGAGATGAGAGGAGGAGGAGGACGAGAACGAGTAGGAGGAGGAAGAGGAGGCGCGGAGGAGGAGGAGGAGAAGGAGGCGAGAGGGAGCAGGAGGAGGAGGGGAGGCAGGAGAGGAGGAGGAGGAGGAGGAGTAGGAGGAGGATGAGGATGAAAGCAGAAGGAGGTGGAGGAGGAGGAGGAGGAGGGAGGAGGAGGAGGAGGAGCAAGGAGGGATGAGAGGAGGAGAGGAGGTGCAGAGGAGGAGGATGAGGAAGGAGGAGGAGGAGCAAGAGCAGGAGGAGGAGCAGGAGGAGGAGGAGAGGAGGAGGAGGAGGCGGAAAAAGGATGAGGTAGGAGGAGAGGAGGATGAGGAAAGGATGAGGAGGAGGAGGAGGAGGAAGGAAAAGGAGGAGGAGGAGGAGGAGAGGAGGCGGAGGAGAGGCATCCCAAACATTTCTCGTTGATAAGTGAGAATGCACTCACGGCCTTGTCTGGAACTCCTCCTGTTGGGGGAAAGGCCGGGGGTGACGGGGCCAGTTGCTGACGGGCAAGATAATCCGCCAGTCTGATTGGGGAGCAGCTTTACTGGGAGGGGGATGGAAAGGGTGCTTCTGGGGTGTTTCCCATTGCAGAGCAGATTCCACTGGATTCTAGCAGCTGGGCGCTTGAACCTTCCTCCACACACTTCACTAATGCCCACGACATTTGATTCACAGTAAAGGCCGCACTGATCACATGCAATAATAAACTTTGCACCTCTGGCCTCTTGGGAGACAACTAGCTGATGGCCGCGAGGGTCAGCAGCTAGCACAGAACATTCAGAGTGATGTCCTTTGCAAGCCTCTTCCTTGCGGCTCGCAAAACTGTTGGGTGCACATCTGGACTTACAGATGGCACACATCCACTTCTCGTTCCCCCCACTACCACACATGGAGGTAGCGAGGAGGGGGAGGAGCTTCAGGGGCGGGAGGAGGTGGGATTGGTTGCTGCCACACAACAAGGGCGCTACGCGCTCCAGCGAGAATCTTTTGGGCGACGCCCTTGCCCCTGCAATCAAACGCTTTCCTGCTGGTCTTCGGTCCCACAGGCTCCCACAAGCTTACACCCTTGGCAACATACATGTGCCACTTCTTGAGCAGCTTCTTTTGCTCCTCGACCTCCTCTACTTCTGAGCTGGAAGGTCTGAGCAGACACTGGCCACCTAGCTTGGCACACTTGTCAGCGAAATCATTGCCTGTGGTATTGAGCCACTCAGTCGATCCTTTGGGGATCGTCCCACGACCCTGATGCGCTTGTACCTCCACACAAGCAAGGTTATCATGCCACCCTCTGCTTCCTCGGGCGAGCATGGCGACTCCAGCGTACTTGTGCTTCCTACAGTACTGCTGGTGATGCAATGCAGGAGATTGAGTGTAGTAAGGTCCATATCTGCCTCGGCGAGGAGTGAGGAAGTAGGGAGGAGGAGGAGGAGGGAGGAGTGAGGAGAGGAGGGAGGAAGGAGGAGGAGGAGGGAGGCAGGAGAGAGATGGAGGGGAGGAGGGGGGAGGAGGAAGGATGGATGAGAGTATGGGAGGAGGAGGAGGAGGAGGAGGAGAAGGAGGCGGGGAACATCCCTCCTCACCGTAGGCGGCGCACGCGAGGCGTGGCGGGCGCGGCGGCAGGCCCCTGGGCCCCCCGCCCCTGGCGCGGCTGGTGCTTCGAGGCCCCCACGGCGACGGCGACGACGGCGACGACGGCGACGAGGGCGACGAGGGCGACCAAGACGACGACGAGGACGACGACGAGGACGACGACGTGGACGACGACGACGAGGAGGAGGAGGAGGAGGACGACGACAATTTCTCCGTCCTCCTCCTCCTTGTCCTCCCCCTCTTCCTCGTCCTCCATCTCCTCCTCTTCCTCCTCCTCCTCCTCCTGCTCCTCCTCCTCCTCGCTCCTCCGTGCCCGGCGCCTCGTGCGCGAACCGACCTTGGGATCGCTGCTGCGAGGCCCCGATGACGATCACGACGGCGGCGGCGGCTGCTGTGCCGGGGACGGCGACGACGCCGACGACGGCGAGGACGAGGACGACGAGGACGACGACGACGACGACTTCTTCTTCCGCCTCCTCCTTTTCCCCCCTCTTCACGCTGACACTCGTGCTCTTCCGGGAGAGGTCAGAGGGCCTGTCTGGGCCCAGTGCCCGCAGGCCCCCCAAGCAGGAGTGTTTTTCAGCGAGGGGCACGGCGGGCACCCTGGGTCAAGTACCCGCCCGCTTTGTACAGCGATTGCTTGAACGGGGCTGAACATTCAAATATGCCCCTTCACGACAGGATGTCTGGTGAGCGGGTTTACAGTGGAATCGTTTTGGAGGCCAACGCCAGAGAGGGTTCCAAAGAAGGTGAGATTCTCAAAGTTGCTGTCCACAGAGTTTAGATGAGTCTGGCCTTCGCGACCAGGAGCTTTTTTCTTTAAACATCGCAAGGTTAATAACGACGCGGACATTGCCGCTAAAGTTTGCACCCTGTCTCAGCTCAAGATGTGGATGCGGTCGACAAGAAGATCGTTATTGCCAAAACGGTGTGCAGGCTTGCTGCTAAAGTTTTGCTGCTGTGGCCTAGGATAGATCTCACGAGTGCTCCTAGGGTTCCAAAGGCTCCCAAACTGACCCAAGACAAACCAGCCCACGTCTGGTCTGAGTGGTCAGGCCTCTGGAGGTGTAGAGTATGTCTTTCAGGGAGAATCGGCAAGGTCTGTCCTGAGCCTGGGGTCTGCCCTCTGGCGTTAGCAAGCTTGACGACGGTGCGCTTCTCAGACTTCGGCACTGTGTGCTCGCGTGCCCGTGCTCGGATGAGAGCCATCTCTTTATGTGCATGAAGTGCAGATTTCACAGCACAGGAGCTCGGCTCGATGTGTCGGGCACGCTTTGCAGTGTCAGCCCTTATCGTAACGCCGGGTATGCCTGGAGAGACTTGTACAAGAAAGGGAGACATCCGAACCCCAGGAGAAGAGCCGTGGTCGTGGATGTCAGTGCCGTGGTTGGGCTCTTTGGCACTGCTCAGAGAGTGCAGGCTGATCTCCACAGGGGGTCGGAGCCTGCTGCTCTTGAGGATAGTCACGCACGTCGTGTTGCTCGGATGAGGAAGTGAGGATGAGGAGGAGGGTAATGGATGAGGAGGAGGAGTAGGAGGATGAGGGAGGATGGAGGAGGAGGAGGAGGAGGATGAGGAGGACGAGGAGGAGAGGAGGCGGAGGATGAGGATGAGGAGGAGGAGGAGGAGGAGGAGGAGGGAAGGAGGCGGAGAGGAGAGGCGGAATGAGGAGCGAGAAGGAGGAGGAAGGAGGACGAGGATGAGGAGGAGGAGGAGGAGGAGGAGGAGGAGGAGGAAGGAGGAGGAAGGAGGGAGGAAGGAGGGATGAGAGGATGAGGAGTGAGAGGGAGGAGTGCGCAGGAAGGAGGAGGAGGAGAGGAGGAGGAGGAAGGGAGGAGGAGGAGGAGCAGACGAGATTAGGGGCGGAGGAAGGAGGAGGGAGAGGAGGGAGGAGGAGGAGGAGGAGGAGGAGGAGAGGAGGAGGAGGAGGAGTAGGAGGAAGGAGGAGGAGGGGGTCGAGGGAGGAGGAGGAGCACAGGGAGGAAGGGAGGAGGGAGGAGGAGGAGGGAGGAGGGGAAGGGGGAGGGGAGGGATGGAGGAGGAAAGGAGGAAGGAGAAGGAGAAAGGAGGAAGGAGGATGTGATGAGGGAGGAGGGAGGGAGTAGGAGGATGGAGGGATGGAGGGAGGGAGGCAGGAAGGGAGTGGGAGGAGGGAGGGTGGGAGGGAGGGAGGAAGGAAGGAAGGAAGGACGGAAGGAAGGAAGGAAGGGAAGAGGAGGAGGAGCAGGAGGAGCAGGAGGAGGAGGAGGAGGAGGAGGAGGAGGCGGAGGCGGAGGCGGAGGCGGAGGCGGAGGCGGAGGCGGAGGCGGAAGCGGAGGCGGAGGCGGAGGAGGAGGAGGAGGAGGAGGAGGAAGAGGAGGAAGAAAATTAATACATAATAATAATAATAAGAACAATACGAATAATAATCATTAGTAAGAGTCAGCATAACAAGACTACTAATAATACTCGTACGAAGAAAAATGCTAACAACAATACTAAGAAGACTAATACTACGAATCATAATAATAAGAAGGCTAGTAGTAGTAACAATACTATTGCTAAGAAGAAGAACAATACTACTAACACTGATCAGAACAATAATATGGACAGTAAAGCGAATACGAATAGTAATAACACTTATGCTAACGGAGTTCCCCACATGGGCGTTTTAATAGGGCGCGGGCTTAGTCCGGAGGAAGAGGAAGAGGCGGAGGTGCGGGGGGAGGGGTCGACGAGGATGGCCGGGTGACGGGGGCGACGAAGACTGCAATTGGCGATGGCGATGTGCAGGCAAATGTTTTGGGGAACACCTCGCGTACACGACGCGGCCAAGATAGTGCAAATCGGAACGACAGCCCAAGAGCGGGGCCGAACCTGATAAATAGTATGGTAATCGTATACCCTCCCTGGAGGGGTGGCAGGGGCCCTCCTCGCTCAGGCGGGGCCTCCCTGGAGGGGTTGGAGAGGCACGAAACCTGATCAATACTATGGTTCGCGAATACCTTCCTCGCTCTGGTGGAGCCTCCCTGGAGAGGTGGGAGGGGCGCGAAACCTGATAAATAATATGGTTCGCGAATACTGTCCTCGCTCTGGCGGGGCCTCCCTGGAGGGGTGGGAGAGGCACGAAACCTGATCAATATTATGGTTCGCGAATACCCTCCTCGCTCTGGTGGAGCCTCCCTGGAGAGGTGGGAGGGGCGCGAAACCTGATAAATAATATGGTTTGCGAATGTTGTCCTCGCTCTGGCGGGGCCTCCCTGGAGGGGGTGGGAGGGGCACGAAACCTAATAAATAATATGGTTTGCGAATACTGTCCTCGCTCAGGCGGGGCCTCCCTGGAACGGTGGGAGGGGCACGAAACCTGATAAATAATATGGTTTGCGAATGCTGTCCTCGCTCTGGCGGGGCCTCCCTGAGCGCTGGGAGGGCAATATAACGAAAACCTGATAAATATTCTGGTTTGCGAATACTGTCCTCGCTCTGGCGGGGCCTCCCTGGAGCGGTGGGAGGGGCACGAAACCTTATAAATAATATGGTTCGCGAATACTGTCCTCGCTCTGGCGGGGCCTCCCTGGAGCGGTGGGAGGGGCACGAAACCTGATACATAATATGGTTTGCGAATGCTGTCCTCGCTCTGGCGGGGCCTCCCTGGAGCGCTGGGAGGGCACGAAACCTTAAATATAATATGGTTGAAATACTGTCTCCGAAGCTCTGGCGGGGCCCCATCCCTGGAGCGCTGGGAGGTGGCACTAAACTGATAAAGGATATGGTTTGCGAATAACTGTCCTCAGCTCTGGCGGGGGCCCCCCCTCCTGGAGGGTGGGAGGGCACGAAACCTTATAAATAACATGGTGTCCGAATACTGTCCTCGCTCTGGTGGAGCCTCCCTGGAGCGCTGGGAGGGGCACGAAACCTGATAAATAATATGGTTTGCGAATGCTGTCCTCGCTCTGGCGGGGCCTCCCTGGAGGGGGTGGGAGGGGCACGAAATCTAATACATGATATGGTTTGCGAATACTGTCCTCGCTCAGGCGGGGCCTCCCTGGAACGGTGGGAGGGGCACGAAACCTGATAAATAATATGGTTTGCGAATACTGTCCTCGCTCTGGTGGAGCCTCCCTGGAGCGCTGGGAGGGGCACGAAACCTGATAAATAATATGGTTTGCGAATGCTGTCCTCGCTCTGGTGGGGCGTGGTAGGTAGGTATTGTATGGTATTGTATGGTGTAGTAGGTATGCGGTGATGATGTATGTATGGTTTCCTAGGTGCGGTATGGTAAGTTCGGTGGTCTGCTATAGTATGGTCTGGTATTGTATGGTATGGTATAGTATGGTATGGTAGGAGTAGGAAGAGGGAGCGGTATTGCATGGTATGGTATAGTATGGTATGGTAGGAATAGGAAGAGGGAGCGGGAGGTGGGAAGGTGGGAAGGTGGGAAGATGGGAAGGAGAGGGTGTCCTGGGAAAACAAGAACCCCACTCTGGATGTGGGGAATAAGCTAAGAAGAAGAGGAGGATGAGGAGGAGGAGGAGGACGAAGGAGGAGAGGAGGAGGAGGGCGAGGAGGGGGAGGCTGGGTGAGTGAGGGGGAGGAGGGGAGGGAAGGTGGGAGGAGGAGGGGAGGAGGAGGAGATGGATGGAGGAGAGCAGGTAGGAGGCAGAGGAGGAGGAGAGGAGGACGGAGGAGGAGGAGGGAGGAGTGAGGAGGAGAAGAGGAGAGAAAGGAGGAGGAGGAGGAGGAGGAGGAGGAGGAGGAGGAGGAGGAGGAGGAGGCGGCACCCTCCCGTCGTGGCCGCGAGGCACCGCGAACTACTTCCACTGCCCGGAGCCCGCTTCCCGGGCTGGCGGGCTTGAGGGCCGCTTTGCGGCGCTCACTGGCACTGGGTCGCTGCAGTGCGACGCCGTTGCGCTGTTCGACCTGCCCAGTGCCGAAGGAGCAAGTCGCGTCGTCGATGCCGTCGTCGTACAGGCAAGACGCTGACATATGGATCACGTCGAGTTCAGGATCGGCTCAGATGCAGCGTCGACGCGATCGTTCAGGGGAGGAGAATGGGTCGGTACCGCAACCCTTCCTTCGTGATCGCCTTCTCGGGTCACGAGAGCCCTCGTCGCCACGGATGGATTCGCTGCGACATTCTGGTCAGAACCCACCACGGGAGAGGTCCGGGGAGTCGCGGCATCGCTACTTTTCTGCCCCCCAGTCGTCGTAGTCGTCGGATTCGTCGTCGTCGAATTCCTCCTTATTCAGTTTTTTCTTCTTTCTCGCCCCGCTCCTCTGTCCCAGTAGCGACCGGCGGAGCTGGACCTCGCTTCCTGACTCCCGAGATGCTTGCGTCGCTTGGCGCCGAGGCCCTGTTCGACGGCCGACCTCGTTGTTCGAGCCGTCTGTGCTCCGCTCGACACTTTCGTTACTAGGACCTTGACAGGCACTGCTATCAGTGGCAACGTCAGAGGGGGATAGGCTCTGGGGGGGATGCGTCGACACCCAGTATTCACCCGATATCCCACCCTGGCCGGGGCCGTGCGGATTCGCTATCTTTCGGGTGCCTGTCGCCGATCTATCGGCGAAGTATCGCTGATTTCAAGTCGATGCTTCCCCGCCCTGAGCAAGTCCCCCCCCCACGTTCCCGTCATACTAGCCCTTGTCTGTTCATACTCTGAAGGCCTTACGGCCGGTGCCGCCGACCCTGAAGGCGTGATCTCCCCCTGGGCCCCCGCCGGCGACCCCACAGGACCCCAGGGGGGCGATATTCTGACCCAGGACCCCCCCCTCGCACCCTGGAAGGCTGTATTCTGACCTGGGACCCCCCTCCAGGATTTTCCCCCATCCTCCTCCTCCTCCTCGCCCTGCTCCTCCTCGCCCTGCTCCTCCTCGCCCTGCTCCTCCTCCTCCTCCTCCTCCTCCTCCTCCTCCTCCTCCTTCCCCTCCCCCTCCCTCCCTTCCTCCCTCCCTCCCTCCCTCCCTGCCTCCTCTCCCCCTCCCTCCTCTCCCCCTCCTCCTTCCTTCCCCGGGACCTGTCTTGCGCCCCTCGAATCGTGTCTTGACGGTCCCGGGGGCCTGGAGAGGGCCCCGAGAGGCGAGGAAGCAGTGACAGCCGTCCGCTGTAATCTTTGCCCCTGACGTCAAGGGAGGAAGAACCACCCAGACCCCGACGGTTGGCGTTTATTGTAGACGGCCCCAGGCGTTTACTGAACAGCCCTGCCCTGTTCGATTCCTCCCCTGGGCGCGTTAGCTGCTTTGCCTGTTGGGGTGCTCCTGACAGGGGTGGATATTTTCTGCCCTCTGTGGCGGCCGATAAGTCGCGGCCCTCCGACTCCGACCCCCTCCAGGAGGTCGGGCGAGGCGAGCCCCGGCGGGGCGAGCCCCGGCGGAGCGAGCCCCCGCGGAGCGAGCCCCCCAGAGGCGAAGCGAGCCCGTGCCCCCTGGGCGGGCTGGGGGGTGGCGGGCCCCCCTTTCCCGATCCGTCGTCGGGGACACCCCCCCCCCCTCCTCCCCCCTCCCTTTCAAAGGGGGGGGGGGCGGGGGCGGCGGGCCCCCCAGGAGCCGCCGGCCTGCCGTGGGGCGCGGAGGTCGAGCTGGCCCCCAGGACGCGCGAGATGCGGGGCTACGCGGTGCTCAGCGCGCGCTGGGCGCAGAGCGGGAGGCCCCGGGCCCCACGGCCGGGCGGGCGGGCCCCTCTCCCGGGGGCTGCCCGCGGGGGCGCCGGCCCGGGCTCGAGCCGAGCGGTGTGCGCCCTCGAGGGCGCGAGGTGATTCGCGCTTCGCGCCTCGCGGTTCGGCTCCGATGCCTCCTCGTCCTCCTCTTCTCCCCTGGGAGGCGCCGCGAGGGCGCGAGGTTGTTCGCGCTCTCGCGCTGCGCGCAGCGCGAAGCGCGAAGTGGGGAGGCCTCGGCTTTTTGGCGACGTCGCGGGCCGTTTTCCTGTTGCGTTTTCGTTTCGCATCCAGGGCAGAACGAAGACATAACGGAGGAGAACGAGAGCGGCACAAGGAGGAAAAGCACCGTCCAGCTCGAGCCCTGGGCTCAGTTTTGAGGCCCGACGCAGCGTGGGCGTCTCCGTCTGGAATGGTCGTATTCCTGTTTATCGCCTTGGCCAGCTGACGATTTTAGGCTTTCGGTTCCCGGGCTGCTGTCCTCGCTTTTGGATATTGTTTTCTGATTTGTTAAACTCGTAACGTCCGTTACCAGGAGGGGCCCCCCCCCATCAATCGTAACGGTAACGACCGTGCGCCGAGTCCCGGCCTTCCCCCACAGCTATGGCGCCGTCCTCACGGGAATGGTGTGGTGCTGACAGGCACCAGAGAGCCCAAAGACGCCTCCAGAGGCGGTCGTCGTCGTCGTCGTCGTCGTCGTCGTCGTCGTCTTCCCCGTCCACGTCGACGTCCCCGTCCTCGTCCTATTCGTCCTCGTCCTCGTCCCAGTCGTCGTCCCAGTCGTCGTCGTCGTCGTCCTCGTCGTCGTCGTCGTCGTCGTCGTCGTCGTCGTCGTCGTCGTCGTCGTCCTTTTTGTCGTTCGGCCCCAACGGCGCGCTGGGCCCGACCACTGTAATTACCGTTACCCCCCCTCGCCCCCCCCCCCCACAACGGATGTCAGGGGGTAAATGGCATTCTCGTGTGTGGCTGAGGCATTTCCTCCCTCCTGCCTGCTGGCCGCTGCGCTTTGCGCTGCCCCCCATCGCTGCGCTGCCACGCTGGAGCGGACCGTCCCGCCCCGCTGCCGACGGAAACGCCGTGTGCCTACGGCCAGGGCGATTTGGTGTCGAGGGCCGCGGCACGCCCCAGGGCACGCTGGGTGCCAGCGCGACCGTTCTCCTCGTGCGCCCGGGGCGCGGGCGAAGCTGCACCTGTGCTCCACGTTACCCTCGAGCTGGGCTCGGTCAATTACTCCTTCCTCCTCCCCCTCCTCCTCCTCCTCCTCCTCCTTCCCTTGTCCTTTCTGCCTGCCTGCCGATTTCGCTGCGCTTCCCGCTGCCGAGCTGCTGCCGGGGCCGCGCTCGTTCTGCTCTTGCCTCTCTTCCCGCCGCATTATCCACCTCCAGAGCGCCAGGGTCATCACTGTCTTTCTCTTGCTCGTCCTGCTCGTCCTCCTTTCCAGCCCGCAATGCTAGACCACGTCTGGGTGATTATAACACAAGTTTTAGACTACTTTTACACCAGTTTTTGAGCAACTGTTGGACCAACTGTAGACCAGGCCTAGACTATGTTCGACAATTTTGGGACTCCTTTAGACCATTTTGTAAACCAGGGCGGGGACGGGGAAGGGACGGAGAGGGGATCGCGATGCGGGGGAGGGAGAGGTGGAGGGGACGATGAGGAGGAGCTGGCGGAGAATGAGGAGGAAAAGGCGGAGGAGGTGGAGGAGGAAGAGGAGAATAATGATGATGATAATGATGATGATGATGATGATGATGATGATGATGATGATGATGATGATGATGATGATGATGATGATGATGATATGATTTGCTTGCTAGCTGGCTTGCTCGCTGCTGCTGCTGCTGCGCTGAATGATGATTTATGGTGGTGGTGGTGGTGGGTGGTGGTGGTGGTGGTGGTGGGGGTGTTGGTTGGTGGTGATGGTGTGGTGGGTGGTGATGATGATGATGAATCTGATGCTGATGCTGATGAATGATGATGATGAATGTGATGATGATGAATCGATAGGAGTGAGGAAGAGTGAGGATGAGTGGATGAGGAGGAGGTGGAGTAACAGGAGGAGGAGAGGAGGAGGAGGGAGAAAAATTACGAGAGCAGGTGAGGTGGAGGAGGAAGGAGGAGGAGGCGAGCTGGAGTAGCGGGTGGGGAGGAGAAGGAGAGGAACGCGGAGGAGGAGGAGGAAGCGGAGGATGATTCTAGTATTCCAGGTTTGCCTTGCGCGCGCGCACGAGAGGTCACGAGGTCTTCGTAGGCAGAGAAGAAACATACAGTCACAGGCGGGGACGGCAACGGCGGCGGCCGCGACTGCGAAGGCGACGTCGACGGAGACGACGGCGGAGGAGGAGGAGGAGGGAGGAGGAGGAGGAGGCCCAGGTGGGGGTGGAGGCGGAGGGTGAGCATGATGACAATGACAATGACGATGACGAGGACGACGATGATGATGCTTATGCTGCTGCTGATGATGATTTTGATGATAATGAGGCTGCTGCTGCTGAGGATGATGCTGAGGATGCTACTGCTGCTGATGGTGATGAAGATGACGATGACGATGCTGATGGTGATGCTGATGGTGGTGGTGATGCTGCTAATGCTGCTGCTGCTGACGATAATGATGACGAAGCTGAGGATGCTGAGTATGATGTTCATGCAACTGCTGATCATTATAATGCTAATACTGCTTTTGATGATTATGCGGATGCTGCTGATGATGATCATGCTGATCATGCTGATGCTGATTATGATGAGGATCATGATGCTGATCATGCTGATGCTGGTGATGATGTGTATGAGGATGGTGGTTGTGGTGGTGAGAATGAAGAGGTTGTTATTGATGGTGGTGCTGATGCTGTTGATGAAATGAACATGATAATGGTAATGATTGTGGTGATGGTGCTGATGACGATGATGATACTACTGACGATGTTGGTCGATGACAATGGTAATGCTGCTGATGAGAATGATGATGCTTCTGATGATGTTGGTGGTGGTGATAGTGGCCGTGGTGGTGGTTAGGATGATGATGCTGCTGCTGATGATGGTGATGATGACAACGACGATGATGGCGTTGCTGCTGCTGATGATGGCTGATGATGATGACTATGCTGATGCGGATGATAGTGTTGCTGATGATGCTGCTGCTGATGATGATGCGGCTGCTGCTGCTGATGGTGGTGCCGTTGCTGATGATGGAGATAATGGCACTGGCGATGACAATGGCGATGGCGATGACGATGCTGCTGATGCTGCTGCTGATGCTGCTGCTGATGTCTACGAGGAGATGGTGAAGATGATGCTGATGAGGAGGGTTATTGATCTTTTGATGGTGATGGTGAGGGTGATTGTGATGTTGATGTTGGTGGTGAACGTGATGATGATGGTGATGATGCTGAGGCGCATGATGATAATGATGGCGATGCTGATGTTGATGATGATCATTATGTGGATAATGACGGTGTCGATGACGATGCTGATGCTGATACTGATGCTGATGCTGATACTGATAATGAAGCTGAGGATGATGCCGATGATGATGCTGCTTCTGATACTGGTCCTGATGCTGCTGATGATGATGCTGATGATGATGATTGGTGGTTGATGATGGTTGGTGATGATCGTGCTGACGCTGCTGATGATGATGAGGCTGATGATGCTGACGATGCTGATGATGGTGCTGATGATGATTGGTGATGGTGATGATTCTGCGGATGATGATCCTGCTGCTGCTGCTGCTGCTGCTGATGATGATGATGATGATGATGATGATGATGATGAGGATGACGTTGACGATTGCGATGACGATGACGATGATGATGATGATGATGAGGAGGAGGAGGATGAGGAGGAGGAGAAGGGGAGAAAGGAGGAGGAGGATGAAGAAGAGTAGTTTGATGATGCTGATGATGATGTTGATGACGATGCTGTATGATGCTGGCTGATGTTGATGATGCTGATGATGATGCTGACACCGACGATGCTGATGATGATGCTGATGACGATGACAATGCTGATGCGGATGATGATGAGGACGCTTTAGAGGATGCTGATGATGGTGACGGTGGTGGTTGTGGTGATGTTGTTGATGTTGATGATGATTTTGATGATGATGATGATGATGATGATGATGATGATGATGATGCCGCTGCTTCTGATGATGATGCTGAGGATGATACTGGCTGATGATGATGATGAGGATGAGGATTAGGATGAGGATGATGATGGTAATGATGGTGATGGTGGATGGTGGTGGTGATGATGATGCTGCTGATGATGATACTGATGGCTGATCATGATGGTTGTGATGATGAAGAAAAAAGGTATGATGCTGATGCTGATGCTGATGCTGATGCTGATGATGATGCTGATGATGGTGATGATGATGTTGATGCTGATGATGATGCTGATGAGGATGCTGATGCTACTCATTCTGATGATGCTGATGCTGATGCTGATGCTGATGGTGATGTTGATGATGATAATGCTGATGATGCTGCTGCTGATAATGATGGTGATGATGCTGATGATGCTGTCGCTGTTTCTGATGATGCTGCTGTTGCTGCAGATGATGATGGTGACGAGGATGATGATGCTGATGCTGAGGATGAGCTGCTGCTGCTGCTGCTGATGATGATGAGGAGGAGGAGGAGGAGGATGAGGAGGAGAAAGACGAGGAGGGGGATACGGAGTAGGAGGATCAGCTGGAGTGGGTGTCGAGAGCAGGACGAGGAGCGCAGGAGGAGGAGGAGGAGGAGGAGGAGGAGAAGGAGGGGAAAGAGGAGCTTGAGGGGGCTCGAGAGCATGACGAGGGGCCCTGGATGAGGATGAGGAGGAGGAGGAGGACGAGGACGAGGAGGACGAGGACTAGGACGAGGACGAGGACGAGGACGAGGAGGAGTTGGAGCTTGATGGGGTCTCGAGAGCAGGACGGAGGAGCGCCGGAGGAGGAGGAGGTGCTGGAGGGGGCCGGAGCGCTGGAGGAGTGCCCGTGGCCCCCGTGCTGTCCCGAGGCTGCTCCTCGTCAACGCGCGCCCGCGCGTGGAGGCGGGCGGCGGCTCCAGGGCCCAGGGCGGGCTGCGGCAGCCAGCCCCGATGCTGCGGACCTCGGCCGTCGCCGTCGTCGTCGTCGTCGTCGTCGTCGTCGTCGTCGTCGTCGCCGTCGTCGTCGTCGTCGTCGTCGTCGTCGTCGTCGTCGTCGTCGTCGTCGTCGTCGTCGTCGTCGACTGAAAGTCCAGACCCCTGCGGGCCGCGTGCCGGGGCGGATGCCCCGGGTCCCACAGGCCTGGGGCCCTGGTCTTAAGAATTGGGGCCGAATCTAGGCACCCCAAGAGGGCGACGCTAACACACGGGGTCGTCGGCGCCGACATTGGCGCGCAAGCTGCCCGCGTAAGGTCGCGTGTGAGTGCCCTCGCTTCCTTCCAATGCAGCTTGCCGCGCTGGCGGCCCGCGTAAGCTGCGGCATACGGTCGCTGCGTCATCTCGCGTAAGAGCCGTTGTTGATCGTCGCTCAAGTGGGGTCAGAGTGTATATTGGTTCGGAGGATCGCGCCGCATCGCCGATGTATCGGCGATGCGGCGCGATGTGGAGGCCGATTCTCTCCACGCCGACGTCCCCCATGCATTGTCGAGGTCGCCAATGCATCGCCGATGCATCGGCGGTGCACCTGCGATACGACACGATCGTCCAACACCATTTGCTCGAACCCCATTTGGGAGGCCTCTAGCGTGTGGTCTAGGCTCAGGCTTTGCCTGGGACTGCGGAATTCGCCTGAGGCATAATGCCTGAGTGCGTAGGCCTATTCAGGGCACTCGCCCGAGCCCGAACATTGACCGAAAGGATCGGGGCCGTCCACGATTTGATCGACTCGAGGATCATGGAGGATCGATCGAGGACTGAGGTCTTTGAATTCTTGACGCTTCGCGTATCCCCACCAGCTTTGCTGTTCTCCTGTTGTCTCTCTTCTCCTCTCTCTCGTGTGCAATTTAGGCTCCTGCTGGTTAGCTGTAGCTTTGGACGGCGCGCGGCCCTTCCGTTTGCGCTCGCAATCAAAAAGGTATCCCCACCAGCCCATCCAGACACGATCGGAGGCTTTTTTGAGGCCTCTCGGAGGCTATCTTGAGCCAAGTTCGGCTAGAGGCTGTCGGAGGCTTTCCTGAGCTATGCTCAGCTATCTTGGACTATCTTGAGGCTGCCTTGAGGTCTCTGGGAGGTCTGTCGGAGGCTACCTTGAGCCATGCTCGACATCCTGGGACCATCTTGGGGGCAAGAGGAGGCGGAAAAAGGAGGATGATAACAAGTAGGAGGAGGAGGAGGAGGAGGAGGAG